GGCTCCCGGGGCTCGCTGAACCTGCCTGGCTGCTTCTTCTTGGGGAAGCGTTCGACTGTCCAGTCTCAGCTGCAGCTGGTGAGTGTTGCCAACCATGGTGCGGTGATCTCGGTGTTAGCTCAGAATAAACAGGTGTTGGTTCTAATTCTGAGTTCACTGCTTCCCTTCCCCCCCTAGTGTCAAAGTTAGGGTCAGGGTTGGAAGATGTGGTTAGTCTGGAGAGCAGTTGGTCAATATGGTGTTTCCATGGTCTGCCATCAATGGTGAGTAGACGGTAGGAGCGGGGGCCCGTAACTTGAGTTACCTGGGCAGGAATCCAAAGGGGATCCCCAGAAAATTTTTTTGAGAAAACAAGGTCTCCTACCTTGAAAACACAGTGCTTGCTGCTGGAACCCAGGGGCTTTTCTGGGGTGTAGGCAGAGTGCAAACGATCTAGAGGCGATCTGAGTTTCCTGGCCATCAGGAGTTCAGCTGGGCTCTTGTTGGTCATGCTGTTTGGTGTGATGTGTTGTAGGAGCAGCATTCTAGTGACTTTGTCGTGGATGTTGCCTTGATCCATTTTCTGCAGGGTTTTCTTTGTAAACTGAACCATTCGTTCAGCCCGGCCATTCGCCGCAGGATGAGCCGGCGATGTGAGTGCGTGTCGGATGCCCCGTTCCGCTAAATACTGTTCAAAGGCTAAGGCAGTAAATTGGGGCCCATTGTCAGAGACCAGGACATCTGGTAACCCGTGTGTGGCAAAGAGTCTGTTCAGTTTTTTAATGACCGCCTCAGTAGTGGTTGCTTTCATTTTATTGACCTCAAGCCAGTTTGAGTAGGCATCTACAGTTATTAAGAAGGTGTGGCCTCTCGTAGGTCCCGCAAAGTCAATATGAACGCGAGACCAAGGACCCCTGGGTGTTTCCCATTCTGCTGGTGGGGCTTTAGGGGGAGCTGAGTGGTTTTCCTGGCATTTGTTACAAGAGGCGACCCAGGTTTCGATTTGTTTGTCCATACCTGGCCACCAGGCGTAACTTCTTGCCAGTGCTTTCATGCGCACGATGCCCAGGTGTCCATCGTGTAGCATTTGCAAGACCCTTTTTTGTAACTTAGTTGGTACAACAACTCGGTCTCCCCACAAAACGCACCCCTTTTGTGAAAAAAGTTCCGTTTGTTTTTAAACGGCTTAAACTTTTCCTTAGTGTCGTAATCTGGCCATCCCCTCTCCACCCAGCCAAGAACTCGTGCCAAACAAGACTCTCTTTTGGTTTCAAAGGCGATGTCTTGAGCCGTTAGTGGAGGCGATGGCATTGTCTCTATTTGTAGTACCGGGAGTGTGGGAGCTGGGTCTTCCTGTGGCTCGGGTAGCGGTGAGCGGCTCAAGGCATCTGCGTGGGGAATAGATTTCCCCGGGCGATACTTTAACTGATAGTCGTAGGCAGCGAGAAATTCTGACCATCGCGTCATTCTGGGGGAGAGAATGTGTGGAGTAGGTTTGTCACCCGCCAGGATCCCAAGTAGTGGCTTATGATCCGTTATAATAGAGAATGGTCTCCCATAAACATATTCATGAAATCATTTTATTGCAGAGACAATAGCAAGGGCTTCCTTATCTAATTGGCTATAGTTTCTTTCTGTTTTTGATAGAGTTCGTGAAAAAAATGCAATTGGTGCTTCTGAGCCACTTGGTAGGACGTGGCTCAGGATGGCCCCTACCCCAAATGGCGAGGCATCACACATGACAGTCAAAGGTAGTGTCTCGTTATACTGAATTAGTACTGCCTTTGAGGTAAGGAGGTCTTTTACTTGCTCGAAGGTGTGTTCCTCCCAATGTCCCCAAATCCAGGATGCCCTTTTATCGAGTAGTCTATGAAGGGGCTCAGCAACAGTTGCCTTCTGGGGTAGGAAGATGTTATAAAAGTTAATAAGTCCCAGGAAGGCTTGGAGGTTGGTTTTGTTTTTGGGTCTTGGGGCGTTTTTGATAGCTGCCAATTTCTTTTCTGTGGGGTGGATTCCTTGCTTGTCAAGGAGGTAGCCAAGAAACTCCACCCTTTCTGTGCAAAGCTGGCACTTTTCCTTCTTAACCTTGAGGCCAGCGTTTTTGAACCTCTGTAGGACTGTTCTGAGGCGTTTTTCTAATTGGTTTTTTGTGGGTGCTGCTATTAATACGTCATCAAAATAGGGCACGACCCCTTTTATCCCTTGTAATAGTCTCTCCATCAGGCTTTGAAAGATGCCTGGGGCTACGCTTACACCAAACTGGAGCCTGTTGCATTTGAATGCACCACGATGTGTGACTATAGTTTGGGCTTCTGCAGTCTCGGGATCAACTGGCAGCTGTTGATACGCTTGGGCCAGATCTAATTTTGCGAATATTTTGCCACCCACAAGTGAATGCAGGAGATGATGAACAACTGGTACTGGGTAGGCGCTCTGCTGTAGCGCATGATTGAGGGTGGCCTTGTAGTCACCGCAGATTCTTATGGACCCGTCAGGCTTTATGGGGGTGACAATTGGTGTCTCCCATCGGGCGTGGTCAATAGGTTCTAACACGCCTTGCGCAATTATTTTGTCCAGTTGCTCGTCAATTTTGGATTTAAGAGCAAAGGGAACTCGGCGTGGCTTTAGGCGAATGGGTGCTATGTCGGGGCGAAGATTAAATGAAATAGGGGACCCCTTGTACTTGCCTAGGCTTTCGTTGAACACTTCTTGGAAATCGTGGACGAGAGCCGCCTCCCAGTCATTGTCTTCAGTATGATGGATGCCAGCCATTCCGATTCCTAATGGCGCGAACCACTGAAGACCCAATAGACTTGGCCGGTCTCGGTCTATGACGGTGAGTGGTAGAATTGCCTTATGTCCCTTGAACGAGACCTGCACATGGCGGGTACCTGCGACTGGAATCCGGTTGACTTGATAGTTTTTCAGTATGAGTCTCTGACTGCTGAGGTCTTGGCGTCGGATGTTGGGGATTAGCTGTCTGAGTGTTCTCCAGGATACCATGGATAGTGATGACCCAGAGTCGACTTCCATGTTGCAAAGTTTGTTTTCAATCGTAACCTCTACTCGGATCATTTTAGCATCAAGTGATGAAGCATGGCCGATGGTGATGGTTTGATGAGCCTCCTCTCATCTGGGGGTGTCGTTAAACCTTCGGGGTCTGCTGTACCGGTTCCACTGGTTGCTAGGGCGGTCCCTCTGCGTGGTGGCGTTGCCATCATTTCTCATTGGGCTGCTCCCTCTCCATCTGGGGCTGGAATTTCTCTTGTTTCTGCATACCTTCGCGATATGTCCCCGTTTCTCGCAAAACCGGCATATGGCGTCTAAGAATCTGCATTCGGATCGGGGATGGTTTCCCCTGCATCCGGCGCATTGGTAGTTGGATTTGCGACCCCGCTGGTCCTGTTGCTCACGTTCTGACCGGAGCCTGTGGACTTCTTCTTCCTCGCTGTCTGAGGATGACTCGACATCTTCGTGATGGGTGGTTGATGTGTACTTGTCTGAAGGTTTCCCAGCATCGTTGGTGGGTTGGCGGTTGGTCCCGCTGGTTCGACGCATTCGTGCTGCCGATTTACGAGTGGCTTCAGCTGCTGTGGCATCTGCTATGGCATCTGCAAGCGAGATGTCTCCCTTGGCCATAATCTTGCTCTGGACGGTTGGGTCTCTGAGGCCAAGGACAATGCAATCTCTCATGGCTTCTTCGAGGTTGGCGAAGCCACACAAACCACCCAGGTTCCTCAGGTCTACCACAAAATCCCCAACACTCTCACCTTCACGTTGGTCCCTCTGGTAGAACTCATGCCTGCGAATGAGAGTTGGCACGGCGGGGGTGTAATGGTTGCGCAGGATGGGAGCAAGGGTGTCCCAATCCATTGTTTTAACTTCAGCTGGCTTGGCTAAGGCTTTAGCCATCTTAAAAATGGCTGGTCCACAATGGGTTAGAAAAACGGCTCGTTTCTTGCTGGGCATGGCATCTTTGAGGTTGTTGGACTCCAGGAACATTTGAAATCTGTCCATGTATGAGTCCCAATCTTCGCTAGCTGGATCGAATGGTGCGGGTGGTATAGCGCTGCTGGCCATGTCACCGTTGTTGCGCTCTGTCAGCCACGTGTTCTTTCGGCTAGCTCAATTCAATAGCTTCTGTTGCTTCCGCATCCCATCCTCGTCGCCAGTGTTAAATCTGGGAGGACGGTTCAAGAACGGAGGCAAGACTCAGATAGCAACAACAGCTCTTTATTTGTGACTTCAGATCTGAGCAACTAACCCCAGCCGCAGCAGCCCCTTATATAGGGCTGGCTGCGGCTAGGCAGCCAATGAAGGCGATTTGAGTTTGCCGCTCTTGGCAGGGCCAATCGCGGCAGCCCGTTTACTGTCTATGGCAACCAATCACGATCGGCTTTCAGCGGGCCAATCAGATTTGCAGGCTATGAGCCTGCTAGTCCGGAACAAAAGAGGAAGAGGAAGAGGAAGAGGAAGAGGAGGAAGAAGAAGAAGAAGAAGAAGAGGAAGAGGAAGAAGAAGAAGAAGAAGAAGAAGAAGAAGAAGAAGAAGAAGAAGAAGGGGGGAGTGGGAGGAGGTAGTGGGTGGCTATCTTTGTTTTCTAAAGAGCAGGAAATACAAGTTATTAAAATGATTCTTATTGAAGCCAAAGTGGCATCTCCGGTGGTAAGAATGAAAACAAAACCTCAAAAATCCCACTATATGATAGATTTTTCTTCTAACAATTAAGGTTCTTTAGGAGCAGAGACAAAATTATTTTTCAATATAGAATGCACATTAGATACACATCTGAATTGTTTTACTTTGCCTAATAGTATGGGTAATGGGTAGACATACTAGAAAATAGTCTGTACCCACAATCAAAATTCTTTGAAGAAAACCTATGCTTAAATGCAGACAGAAAACAGATATATAACTTTTGATCACATTGCAACGCTTATCCTTACATAATTTTTAAAGATAATCTACAGTTATTTGCAGAACTAGTAAAAGTAACGTCAGAAAGAATTGAAATATCTTACCTGTGATAAACAGTATTTCCACTGCAATGTCACTGACTGTTGTGCTTCGAGTTGTAGATAGATCATCATTGCCAATAAAACAAACATTGTAAGGTACAGTTACAGCAACATAAAACGTTGCTAGTAAGATAAGCCAGTCCCAGCCAGCTTTAAAAGTGCTAAAATGCAAAAGTATGAATTTGGACTTTTTTGCATCTGAAACTTTATATTCCGGAAATGCTGGTTTATCTATAAAAACATTCTGAAAAAAGAAAGAGAGAAAAAGATAATTCAGACCAATTTGAGATGCTTTGGCTGACTATAAGAACATTTTTAGCAACCTTAAGTTGTTTTGAAAGCTTTTGTATCCATTGTCTACGTTTTGCATATGTTTGTCCTGGTATTCATTCAATCCTCCTTTTATGGTTTCTTTCACAATTAACATAAATTCTGAGATGAATTTGTGCAGCTTTCCTCTTAATAAAATTAAGGATTTAATTTGGTTTAGAATTGAACAAGAAATACTTTTCATGGTTAAAATACACTTGTATATCATGATAGAACCTGTGATTTTATGAAATAACTACATAGTGAAAATGGGGTGGGGTGGCAACAATAATTTTTAGCAGGAAAGATGAGTTGTTTATATATGCATGGTTTCCGAAACCTGTATTTCATTTGGAAGGCAGCTCTTCTCATTCAACAAAGGGGCGAATGTTTCCATGTTTGAAATTTGCATCTCTTAGAAGCTTGTTAAAATGTTATAACTGACAAAACACTAGCAGGCTGTTGTATGTGTTACTTTTAGAGCCCTCTCTCAACATAGCTTCAATAAGATAATAGATTTAACCTCTGCTTTTTGCCTTCCATCTTATTACTGCAAATTCCTCCTTCCATTCTTGCAATTTCAATTTCTTCTTTCATTTTGCTCATAATTTCCCCTGGGCAAGAGTCACCATCTTTCTAGAAATGTGCTAACTCTGCACCCCATCTTCGCTTTCCCAAACTTCCCCAACCATCAATCTGGTAATTCTGCTAATTCTACTTGCAGAGAAGGAAAGGACACTTTTGTCTGATGGCTTCCTAGAATTATAATCTACATGTTGTATTAATATATTGTACCAAAATTTGTATTCTCAAGAGAATGAAAGAAAATATGAAAAGGAGTAATTATCATACAATGCCAGAAAAACTCAAAAACCAAACAAACAATTGTTACAGTGAAAGCCCTAATTTGAATGATATATTGGTATTTCAAGTCTGGATACATCCATCTGTGAAAATTTATTACAAACAGTCCTTTTAAACCAAATAGTCATTTCATGTTATACCCAGATGTATACAATGGAGCTCTTGAAACCAGATTTCATTGATTTCATTCAATATTCTCTTAGAATAACTAAATCTGTCTTTGTTTTTAAAAGTAACATTTACTCGGTTGAAGTATTATTAGGTTTAAACATAATCTCACTAGGATAACACTTTAAATCTCATTAAATTTCAACGCAAAATTTATATTTTATTTCTCATATGATTATTGTAATTAATGCCTGATTTTTATTGCTTAATATACTATTCATATTTGCATAATTAAATTACAATTCAGAAATCAGTAAAACATTATTTAAAACTCACTCCTAATATATTATATACAATTCTTGAGGACAGAGAGAAATAATTCCAGTTAGGATGAATTCAATCCCAACAAATATCATCTTACGCATCTTCTACTCAGTGGAATCTTCTGTTTCTTATCCAGCAGTATTAATCAAAGTCTTCCTTACAAGTAATATATAATCACTCCATGTGGATTAAACTAGGATGTAATTTAGTCCCATTTTTAAAATTTTAAAATTAAGACAGTAATTAATATCTTGAGCTCTGCCAGTTTCACCTAGACAAATTGGTAAATGTTAACATTGGCAAATAAAACCAGTCATCTTGCTATTATATGAAGAAAATACTCAAATAAACTTCATATTTGTTTTTATTTCAGTAGACTTGAAAATATCCATGAAGACTTTTGTCTACAGCTACAGGTACTCCTCAACTTACAACAGTTCATTTAGTAACCATTCAAAGTTATATTGCACTGAAAAAAAGTGACTTATAACCATTTTTCACAGTTATGACCTTTGCAACATTCCCATGGTCATGTGATCAAAATTCAGATGCTTGGCAACTGGTTCATATTTATGACTGTTGCTGGTTTCCAGGGTCACGTGATCCCCTTTTGTGACCTTCTGATAAGCAAAGTCAATGGGAGAGCCAGATTCACTCAACAACTGGGATACTAATTTATGAACTCAATTGATTCACTTAGCAATGGTGGCAAGAAAGGTCTTAAAATGGGGTAAAATTCACTTAACAAATGTCTCTCACTTAACAGCAGAAAGTTGAGGACTATCTGTATAACCAAAGAACTATCAGCTACCATAATGTATAGAGAATCTATTCTCTGGAAAGTAAAATCATTTAACTGAACATAATTAAGAATAATTAATTAAGAGTATTCCACAGAGAATTCTATAGACTATAGAAGTAGTTTTCAGGCATCATTCATGGAGGTAACTAAAAATAGCCATTAAAAAGTGGAAATGCAACAACAAAATACTTGATTTACCAGAAGATACAGTTAAACAAGTACCCAATTTCCAAAATATAGGAGTTCCCTTTCAAAAGGTGTCAGAGTTAAATAGCTCATGCTGAGCTAAGCTTAAATAAAGAGTGTATTTTTTGCTCTAAATGCCAGCTATAGTAGCTTAAAGATGAGGGTCCTGGACATTTTAGAGCTTAGACTATTACACTAAATAGATGCAAATCGGTTTCTGTATTCTATTTATCTACATGTCTATTTTAGTTCTGCTGGGTAATTGTGTCTAGGTTTTATTTACAAGTGATTTGACATATCAGTTAAGGCAAGACTGCAAGTAATAAGAACAAGAGCTATAAATACCTCTTATTTTATCTTTGTAAGAGCATTGTATAAGTGTAACTTACTGAAAAAAATATTTTAATGCTATTGCTTCATTCAAAATATTCATAAATCTTTGTCAAACCAGAATTTAGTAACTTGCACCTCCACTTGCAAAAATTTATAAAGCTTACAGCAGCCACATTTCTAGAAAAGATCAATTTTCTCATTAATAAATACAAATAGAAATGTTATGTCTGACAAACTTTCTAGAATGATGTGATCAAAGATATATGAATTTAAGAAGGATAATGCAAGAGGCCAAGATATACAATTTCCATCTCCCCCAACTCATTGGGGCAGAAATTTTTAGCAAATAGGGCATTATGAGATTTGCTCATCAAAGTCATTGTCCCCTTCTATTTTACATTGATTGGAATATTGCATTCACTTTTGGGCATCACATTTTAGAAAAGACACTAACAGAGCGTTAGAGACTTTCCAGAGGATTGCAACCAAGCTGATAATAGGGATGAAAAAAAAAGGAAAGAAAAAATGTATGAGGAACTTATAATGGAATTGTTAGGTATATTTATCCTGAAGAAAAAAACATATTGCAGACCCATGATAGCTATCTTCAAGGACCTGAAGGAATGTCATGCAAAAGATGGGCTAGACTTCTTCATTTGTGGTTCTGGAAGTCAAACAAAAAATTGTGGACTTAAATGATCAGGAAGCAGATTTCAGCCGAATATCATAAAAATATACATTAATGGGAATTTTCAGTGTCTTGGGAGATGTAGATTTTAAGCATTTAATCAGAAACTAGCTGACAACCTGTTTGAGAATATCATAGTAGCATATATCTGCACAGAATAAGGGACTGAACTAGAAGATTTCCTAAATTTCCGACTACTTTTCAAATACTATGATTCTGTGAACTAAATATTTTAGTTCTTTTTAGTTTAGTTATTCCTTTTGCCTAAACTTATATTTTTGTGGATGTTCTCTATCAAGTTAATCCCAATATATTCTAATAGAAAGGTCTTAAGTAATAAACTGGTAAAATTTAGAAAATTGGCCAATAACTTGTTAATAAAAGTTTTGCTGCCCCTTTAAAAATAATAAAATAACAATACATGATTGTTTTAAGGATATTACCTTGCATGACCTATATACCTACAAAAGGTCACAGTGATGGGAACCCATCATACAACCCCTGTTTTTAGTTTCCAGATGATACAATATACCTACTTGGTACTTTTTATGCTTTCAGTTGTGCTATAAATGAAATTTGCTTACTAGCACGGTGAGATCAAAGTTCTATAATGAATTGGAAAGCAGACAATGTACTGCTGCTTTCATTGCTTTATAGATGGATTTAAAATATGCCATGAATGCTAAAGTATTTTCTTTAAATAAATAAATAAATATACACTGGTTTGTTCATGCAGTTTTCATGCTGGGCTCATGATGAAAATAGCACTTCCTCCTATTATTAGCTTGGGAGGGAGGGAGAACTTCTAAGAAGTGTTTATGTGGCAGGAAATCTGAATCATAGTTCAGGGAAAAGGAAAGATTTAAAATTCTTTTTGACAACTTTTTCTATGAAGTTTTATAAAAGGACAAATATGATTTAGCATAATGTTTGGGTTGGGCCTTAGACATTTATGCTAAACCATATGAACATCATTATCAGATATAAGGATCCTAGTCTATGTCCATTGCATTTTCTCTTTGAAATTGTACAGTATAATTTACTTACAAGAAACATTGTATTGGCCAAAGTTTTATTTTCTATATTTATAACTATAAATATGTATCTTCAAAATAGGAAGGGGCAATTATAAGCAACTAGTTTTTCTCCTTTAATCCTCCTTAAACCTTCTGAGCATCATACAACCCCCCACCTCAGATAGAATAGCATGAAAATAGTTTGATTCTCTATACCTACATTATTAATTTTTAATTTGTTCTTTTCTCTTCTTTGTAGGTGTCCGGAGATGTGATAAAGGACAGCTCTACTCCGTCTGCGGGCTGAATCAAAATGTGATCCTGCTCTTCCTCTTCCTTTGAATTTTTCTGAAGAATACAGATGACACATTGTATTTGTTTAAATGCAGCCTCTGGAAAGTGAACTAATAGTCCAGAATTGCATACCCTGATTGTTTCAGATAGCTTTTCTTTCATTCTTTTTCTGCTTTTTTTCTTCTGCAAAATTAATCCCATCAATCAGGGATATCTCTAAAAATTGATTGCTTTTGCTGCCACAACAAACTCTTTTCTTTTTTGGAAATTCTTCTTATTGTTTTTTTCTGATTTTTGTATCTCTATATCTCTCTACCTTTACCTACCTCTACCTCTACTTCTCTACCTCTGCCTATCTACTGCCTGTCTGTCTGTCTGTCTGTCTGTCTGTCTGTCTATCTATCTATCTATCTATCTATCTATCTATCACCTATCTATCATCTATCAGCACTATAAATGTTGGGACCATCTAGAATTATTCTTGTTATTGAAGATTTGGAACATATAGAATCATTCAAGATATGAGGGAAGCATGTCACTTTTCCAAAAATTGCATATTGCATGGATTTCCAAATCTTTTCATGGGAGAGAAAAATAATCTTTCAGATGGAGTGGGCACATTTACAATTTTGATAGCATGCACTAGAAGATCTGTAATCAACTGATTACTGTGCATGTAGAGGATCTTGATTATTCACAAAGAAGCCACATGGTCACTAAAAGTTGTATCACTTTCCACCGTAGTATATAATTTTCCTTTTACAGAATTCTGTTTAATTGCAAATTGTCAATATGAACAAAAACTCTGAAAAAAACTTTAACGTGATAACACTTTAAGAAAATTCTTAGATACTCACCATTGTAAAACGAACGTAGAAGTCTGAAAGGTTTTCCTTACGTCCCCATCATTGCGTATCACATTAAATTTTCAAACTTCCTTATCTTATGTGTACTTTTTTTCTTCCATTCAGTTCTCAAGGTAATACTCTCTATTTAATCATATCTGCCTTAGGGTTATTTATCATTATTCAACATTTTTCTATATAAATAATGGCCACTTGAAGCATTCTTTTTTTTTCTCATTTGTGCATTGTCAAACTATTTCAACAGCAGTGACAAGAGAATAATACCAAGACTGTTAGCTTGGTGCTAAAATGAACGAAGTAAGTATAGCATAATATTGGAAACATAAATTAAGGATGTCATTTAAAGATATAATCATTTTCCTGCTTCCAAAGTGGTTTGCCAGCAACAAAGTAACAAGGCTAGGGGGAGAAGGTTCAAAAGAATCAATATGGCAGCGATTAAAGCTGTGACATTTTTTAACCTTGGCTGGAGCTTCAATATTTCTCTTTGTCAACATCCCGTTATATTATGGTATTAATTTCCATTATAGAATTAATACCATAGATCCTAGGAACTTAGACTAAATCTGAGTCCAGATTTGTGTCCAAATGCCTTTTAAGAATATATAAGTTTGAATTTTAAAGATGTATAAATCCATAGTTCATATTTCATAGTTTATATTTTATACATATTGATAGTTTATATTACAGATTGTCTAGGTAGTCTTGTAACTGTTGTTATCTGCTTATATGTTTGTGATGGGTCACAATTAGAGGAGAATGCTGAGGACAGATATATCAGAAATAAGTCCTTGTACTGCTAAAAAATAGACCAATACTGCTGTCTCATGGAGGGGGGAGGCTGAATAAGAAAGTAGGACTTGTATTTCTTCTAAAAACCAAGCAAGGAAAAGTATAAGCACATTTCTTTTGGGAAGCAATTCCAAGTCTTGTATAATACTCTACAATCTGTGATTGGAAAAGTATAAGTCATACATAATTGTACTTTCATTACCAATGTAGATTGGGAAATGTTCAGATTGTGCAAATTTTAGACTTTAAGTTCTGTTCCCTGGGTTCTCTCCTAGCATCCAAAATTATCTGGGATTTAATTATGACAATTCTGAAATGTCAGCCTTCAGCCTAAATGTTAGATGTTCAAAACCTTTAAGAAATACAATCCCAGAGCTGATTAGGATATAAATTTTGGATTTAGTTCTATTTTCTGCATGTAAGCTCCTTCATGATACCAGAAGACTTCTTTATAGATAGTTTACATTTAGCAACCACATTTGGGAGTACCAACTCAATTGCTGAGTAGAAACCACATGAGTGCAACTGTGCTTATGATTTAACTGCAGCTTTCTTTTTTCTCCACTTTCTCAAACTTTGAATTGCTTATCCCAGCACTGGATAATTAGTGAGAATGAAATATATATATATTTGTTTTCTTAAGTTTTCGTGGGTACTTACATGTATGGTATTCAGCTTTGCTCGGGTACTTTCCCACGTCATTGTAGTTGTGCTTTTAAAGTTGTAGCAATGTTTCAGCCGAATCTCATCTGCCATCATCAGGCTTCATCATCAATACAGAATACAGAATTCAATACAGAAGCCTGATGATGGCAGATGAGATTCTGCTGAAACGTTGCTACAACTTTAAAAGCACAACTATAATGATGTGGGAAAATACCCGAACAAAGCTGAATACCATATATATATGATATATATATATAGCTTGAAATTCCAAGAAGAAACGCCAAGAAATGTGCCAATGTAAATTTATGGAAACATACAAGGAAATAGTTATAAATTCCAAATGTAGAAACTGTTTTAATTGGCATAACATTTATTTTAAGTGTTGTGGAAAACAAATTATATATGTTCTACATTAAAGCAATGATTGCTAATTAGCTGCCAAAACCAGAAAAAAGTAACATACCATGAATTCTGAGACAAAGAACTTAATTTCATTTTTTCCACTATCCATTTGAAGAATCTCTTTTTTATGACATGCTGTTGAAATATATCCCTTGATATACAGTTAGTTTAGCATCAGAATCTAGTTCTCTGTTTATTACCTGACCTTTCTTATTTGAGAAACCGTTTATCTCCTCCAGTGAAAGAAGATGATAGACTAACATGCTGATACATAATTCAGGAGAAAAGCTAGTTATATATTTGTTCAGACCTTTTCTAAAAATCTCATATTTTAAAATAGTTCTTGCTGCATCTAAAAGTATTGAAGCAATGTGTCTGAGTTTATTGAAATGAAATTGTTGCAGGGAGAAATTTTATGTAAGACTATGAGAAGAAGAAATAATGTATCCCCATCAAAGCATGCTGCAGCATAAATGGTTAGGCATGTCTCTTCAATAACTTTCATTATTAATAATGCAAATAAATCTTTTACTACAAGATGCCATTATGGGCACAAGCAAAAATAATTTTAAAGTAAATATAGCTTTTATAGCCTTAAAGTATGCATCAGTTTTTCTATTCCAGATCAAGGATCAGACTTGAAAAGCAGATGAAGTGAAGAAAATCAGAGTATAGGGAGTGAAATGAGTTCTGTAAATGTATATAAGCCTTAAGGCACATGCACACCAAAAAAACCACATTTAACTCTAGTTTGACCACCCTGAGGGGTTCTTGATGAAGCAAAAGGTATGTTGGCAACCAGACATTTAAAGAGTGGGCTGAAAATTGATGCCTGGTTTTTTTTTTTTTTTTGGTTATACCTATTTTGTATGGTTTACTTTTAAGTTGCTGAGAGTCAGTAGATGTAAATACATGCCATGTCTGTCTCTCTTTTACCAAGTGATAGATTTACAATGGGACATCATTATGCTATCTTTTCCCCTCCACTGCCCCAATATTCTTTTCAATTTATAATTTGGTTAAATACAAAGTTTTATTTATCATCCTAATTGATAAAGAAAATACTTTTTCTTTAGACGTATTTTAGTTTTTTGCGGGAATGATTGCATGATTTCCATGGTATTGGAATGTAACCTCATTAACATGTCAGGTCATAATTATACTCTTTCTTTTTTTTAAAAAAGCCTCCATTGAATAATGAACACAAGATAGCACTATGTTCATACAGAATGTTAACAGAATAATATATTTGCAGAACTGCACTGCTCAGCCATAGAACATCCTTTGTAAAGGAATTATTGAAGAGATTTTCCATCAAGTTTGGTTAATATTTAATTTTGCCCTCATAGAGGAACTTCACAGAACACATACTCAGAGCATATTATGTGCTTTTAAAATTTGAGGTATTTTTGTAAAGCTCCCATCCTGATTTATAAATATAATTAATAATTTTAATTAATGATTTTCAGTAATTCAGTAATTAGACTAGTGTTTGCTCAAAACAGTAAAAGTTTATAAAGTCCCCCCCCCCCATCTCTTTCTTTTCTGAGAAAAGAATGAGGTGGCTATTTTCAGAAGCCTGATCTAGCAACAGTTTCTTTGAAGTGAGGCTGGAACCTTCCCTTTTAACTTTCTGGAAGTCTCTCAAGACACAGTTGTGTCATCAGGCCTGGGGATCCCAGAAGACTGGTGAAATTACCAAAGATGGGCTACAAAGCAATGAAAACAGAACTTCCCTTCCCTTCCTTTCCCTTTCCTTTCCTTTCCCTACTCTCCTTTTCCTTTCCTTTCCTTCCCTTTCCTTCCCTTCTCTTCCCTTCCCAAAAGGGTAGTAAATGCTGTGCTGGGTAGGGAAGTGAACAGGGAATTGAAAAACTGACTGGAAAACTGTCATGGAATGTTGAAAATAAAGATAAAGGACCACAGCAGCAGCCATGGATTCCCTCATGGATCCAGGATTTGGATACATTTTATAATTTAGTCCACTTGAGGTATTTTGGTTCAAAAATGTTGCACCATTTCACCCAGTTAAAGGTCATGACAATAATAGTTTATCTTATTGATTGTATAGATGGAACTAATTTAATTAATTAATTGAAATAGAGTATGCTATTATTCAACTATCTAGCAGGTTCTATGTGATGTCTGCTCACAGACAGAAATTCAGGAGATGGTACTGATTACCAAAACCTCCTGCACATTGGGAAGAAAGCAATCTGCTAGCTAGTTCACAAGAAAGAAGCTGAAGTTTTCATTAATAAGCAACTTATGTAAAGTCTTTTTGTGAGAATCCCAAAACTGCTTTTTCAAAAGACAACTGGACTTTCTTTGCTTTGCTTGAAGAAGTTTCACTTCTCACCCAAGAAGCTTCTTCAGTTCTAACTGAATGGTGGAGAATGAAAGGCTTATATTTCTTGCAGTCATCTGTTATTATCACTCTTTCTGAGGGTTGTTGAGGAGGTTTAACTGTGCCCTCAGGATTGTCTGAATAATGCAAATGGGCATGGAACCTTCTTGGAACTGCTGAAAGGACTATATTTTAGACAGGAGATAGATGATATTATATCCCTCTCCCTCTGTTGAAAGTCCAGTAGATTGCTTTTTTGTTTCCTCTTTCAAATCAGTTGGTTTGAAAGAGGGATCAAACAGGCCATCTACATTAAGGCCATCTACATATAAATCCTTCCATTCCTCACCATTCAGTCAGAAGTGAAGAATCTGCTTGGATAAGAAGCGAAATATGCTCCAGCAAAGCAAAGAAAATCCAGTTGCTGTTTGAAAAGTCACCTTTGGGAAAACCATGACCAGATGACCAAGAATGTCCAGACCTCTGTGAGAGTCTTGTTGTCTGAGTTGGTGACTGTTTCTCTTGACTTCTCATTGTTCTATAGCCAACTGGACAACTAGTCATAACAAGATGATCAGGTTTACTACTGATCAGCAAAGAAATTTAAATTCATGTATGCAGAAAAGTTAGAGTTAACAAAAAAGGCAAATGGAAAAAGTGAGTTTGCCTGGTATAATGTTTCTTTTTATTTTTCTTATATATATCCATTTCATGTACTCATAACTATGTCTATACTTATACCTATAATCTTATAATCACCTGACAAAATAAATAAATAAATAAATGAATGAATAAAAAAAATTAAAAAAGTTTTGAGGGCATCTCTTATTTCATCATAAAATTAATAGCCATACAAGAGCATCTGCTTCTAAATATGCAATAATAAGTACCATATTATCTTGATTTATCATCCTCTCTCAGTTTCAGACAAAATCTGACAGCATCTCTTGTCCTGTCACAGCAGCAATGAAGCATATGAGAAAAACCCAATAGATAATTTCATGAACATAATATCAAAAGCACATTCCTCAGTGCTGATCACCTTATTTTGGTCACATTCATGGCCATAACTGAATTATTCAAATTACTAATTTGAACTGAGTAAGAAATAGATCATATTGTTATACAATATGAAGGCACCTTAGCCTAATCTGTTTTTAGGATATTAGAAATAAAGTCATCCCATTTCCTCCTCCATCTGATCCCATAATTCCTTAAACTGAATAAAGAATTGTGAACAATGCTGTTTCGTTGACTCACCTATATGATATTTATACAAAGAGAATAAAAGTAGCAAACTAACTTCTTCTAGCATTTCTCAATATCGTATATATATATTTTAACACTGATTCAGTTCTCATTTACTTTTGGTAAAACAGGAAAGTGTGTTATTCTCTACCTCAGCAGTAATGTTTTCATTCAACCAGAATCTAAATGAAAAATCCTTGTGACATTTGATATGAATTCATGGCCCTTTTACATATAGCTATATGAACAATACCCAGCCATACAACAACACAACCATACAACAACAATATACACATATCACATATTGTCCTCTGAAAATCTTTGTTTTTATACTAAAAAGTATACCTACCATCTTTTTTCTCCTCCATAGAAATCTTTATTTTTGTATCTGTTATGTCTTTGAAAGAAGATAGAAACAGAACAACATCACCTTTCTCATTCTTAATTGGAACAACGTCCAATAGGCACCAAAACGAAGACCCTGAAAGAAAAATAAATCCATTACATATATCATATAATTCATTCTCTCTCTCTCTCTCTCTCTCTCTCTCTCTCTCTCTCTCTCTCTCT